CATGCCTTAAATATGGAACTTAAGACTATTTGTCTGTGTAGGTTATGGGCTCAGAAAAGCAGTCAAAACAATTAAATGATGCCACAATTTTAGTTAATTATCATCATCACAGCAGCTAAGTACTAAAGATTGACGTTCCAGTACAGTGCTCTCTACCGACTCTCCATCTTGTACACTACTAATGATTATTTGAGTAACTATGGTGCCACTCTATGCTATGGAATATTATTGCTTCTTTATCTTGACAATTAGTTTGTACAGTCATTAGATATTTGAGTAACTCCATCCCTGAAGGATGCTTTGAGGATCTCTTTTTGGGAAGCTACTGTCATCTTCCCCATCTTCAAAAGGACAGATGTTCACAAGGCATCCTGTAAGAGTGATGCAGCTGCAGGAAGGCCACAGTCAGCATTGTGGCCTCTTCTGTTCACAACACTCACCTACGTAAGGCGCAGGCAAACTTCGGGTTCCCTTCAGAACATTCTGCCTACTACAAAGTGAGGAAGCTAATAAGAAACAGCACAGGAATATTTGTAATTTTTCTTATCTACTGAATTTGCAGATAGAACCATTCAGCAAGTTAAATATAGAAACTTGCCTACCAATTTTCATGTAAACCTTAAAATCATTCTGATAATGATTAAGCGAAACTGTTTCTTAACACATTTGAAAATCAATCCAAGCATTATAAAACATGGATGTGCACTGTTTTCCTCACCTTTTCTTAAATCACTCCTCATAATGACCTGATTCTGATTCTGAGTAAGGTCCAAGTCCTGGTTCAAGTCCAAAACAATATAGAATTGACCTATACTTTGAAGACAGAGGTTTTGCCTCAACACACAAAAAGCTTGATGAGTAACAAAAATAATATTTTAATACCAACTGTTTGAAAATCCAAATAATTCTGGCAATGCCTTCCAACATTTAAATGATTTACATGTAACAAATCTATGTAGCATTCAGTCCCATCACAAAAATTATATTTTATAACTAATTTATGCTGGAAGATTCATCATGAAATCATGTTATCTAACCCTATATATTCCATAGACTAAAATTATTGCCTTTGTGCTCTTCCTTATTATACTTGAAGCTTTTAATGAGCTATTTTCTCTTGAATAATAAATTGTGAACCTTAGCTATATAGAAAATAAAGAAAATTTATAATCTCAGGTTTTTTGTGTGTTCATTTTAGCCTTGGCTAAAGGTAAAGACGAAACTAAAGGTCACAGATTAGCTTGTATATTTTACTAAAGACCTGTGAAAGAAGGGTAAAACACTACAAAGCATAGAGCAAACCACTATATTTTATTATGTGGGTAAGAGTAAAATATTAAAAATATTTATATTCAGGTATTATGAAGTTATTAAGATGATCCAGTAATCTGAAGACACTAAAAGCACACGATAATCAGTTTGGGATGAAAGGCCTATTATGTCACTTTTCACTTTTTTTTTTTTTTTTTTTTTGTCTTTTTCCTTTTTATCGGTACCGGGGATCAAACTCACGACTGCCTGCTTGCAAGGCAGGCACTTATGCCGCTGAGCTAAACCTCCAGCCCCTATGTCACTTTTCACTTATATTCTATGACTTGTCATTATAAAATTGGGTAGTTTGTAAGAGTTTATTGTAAGGTTAGCTACAATAATATACTATTGTTGCTTTAATTTTATTGGTACATGTGTGCAGTACATAATGATTACACTCTAGGTGGGGAGTTGGGACACGTACGCAACACATCTTAGTTCTTTTCTCATCCCCTTCCCCTCCTTTTTTTCTCCTTCCTCTATCTATTGGTCTTCTCCTCTTTTGCAAAAGATCTGTCTCCCTTTTCCTTATATCTTTTATTTTATTCTTTAATTATTTATACTTTGGGTTTCTCATACAAGAGAGACCATTCAATGTTTAAGCTTCTGTGTGATTTATTTTACTCTAACATTATGATCTCAAGCTACATCCATTTTCCTACAGATATCTCACATTTATCTTTATGACAGAGTAGTACTTCATCGTGTATAAATGCCACATTTCCTTTATCTATTCGAATCTCTGTTGATGGATTTAGCTATTATGAGTTGTGCTACTATAAACACGGGTGTATGTGTGTATCTCTGAAATATTATAGACAGCTTAGTTAGATAAAAATTAAGAGGCAGTCAGAGAGGGCCCAGGCCCTCCAAAAAGTCAGTATAAAAGAGGAGACACATCAAAATTGTGTGTAAGGACAAACGGAAAGAAAGCCAGGCCTACAAGCCTCCCCAGAAACAGGCCACAGCTTAAAATTGCATGCTCATCAGCACCACCTGATCCAGTGAGCCTAGATAAGGTGTTAGGTACAAAGGTGGGTGATCAAAATCCCCTGACCCATATTCCTGTCCTTGGACCAAAATGCCTTGGACTTCTCTACTGTAAAAGTTATAGATGAACTAACCTTAGTAATGCCTCATTTCGCTATTGGATCAATATTATTAGCTAAGCTACAATACTTGTAATCCTGTAGGTCAATTTGTCCCACAATTACCCAAGTTATGATTCTCTGTGTAAATTACCCTCTCACAAACACATGACAACCCACTTTCAGGATCCCTTCTCTCAGGATTTTTGTCTCAATAAAATTTTCTTACTTTCAGTTTCCTTTGTCCTCATAACCAGTTTTGGGTTGTTGAGACACAAACTCAACACATCTGATACCTAATAGATTGGCAGTCATTTGCCTGTGATGATATGTCTTTTAATTCTTTTGTGAAAATATCTCAGAGGGAAATAGCTGGGTTGAATGAAATTTCTATTTTTAGTTTTCTGAGGAATCTCCTTACAGATTCTCATAGTGGTTGAACTAGTTTACATTCCCACAAACTAGAAAGGTTTCCCCTGAAACCTGGCCAGTATTTGTTATTATTTGCTTTCTTGATGATAGCTATTCTTTCTGGAGCACGATGGAATCTCAGTGTTGTTTTAATTGGCATTTCTCTAATGGCCAGAGATATTGAACATTTTTTCATGTATTTATTAGCCTTCTGTGCTTCTTTTGAGAAGTGTCTATTAATAGTTTATTATCATATAACCCTCACCTTGGAATTATGTGCTTAATTGTTTAAGATGCAAAATCAAGTTTATTCACTTTACCAACCAACCCACATCACTGGTTTTGTTAAAATTAACTTACTCTGTATTTTAAAAGCTTTAAAATTCTTTTGGAGTTAATATACAGTAAATGTTTTCCTCTTTGCATCATTTGTGGTACAAGTAAAATAATGATCATAGCAGACATTGTTAAACCACCACGCAGAATCTTGACTTTTTCCACAATGTTTCTGGGTTGATGATCAAAGCTTATGGGTCTGCCATTATGGCAACATAAAACATCTGCACTTCAGGGTCATCTTGAAGCCTGTGACCTCAAAAATTTCACTGCCTAATTCATTTTAAATGTTGTGTCTCAAGAGTAATACGCTTAAAGGACTGTAAGAGGATATCTATCCTTGTTTCAAACTGGACATTCGAATTTCCACTTTATGAAGACTCATGAGGTAAATTTTTATGAAGTCTTAGCATGTAGAAAAGAAGTGCCTCTCTCTTGATAAACCTGGTTCATCTTTAACTCAAAAACAATACAAAACCCTCCACTTTGGCCAGTTTTTTGCATTGTTCTGGCTTCCTGTTTTCCTTCTCTATAAGCTCAGTTCAGTTTCCTCACTTATTTTTATCTTGTGTAAAAACAAGTATACGTTTTCTGTATGTTGCCTTAAATTCCGTGCAGAATAACGCAGTTATAATAGGAATAGATACAGTCCAGACTAGAAAAAGGATTGATGCCTATAGGGCTATCGGGCATAAACCTAAAAATGAGTCCAAGAGAGTAAGCAAGTACAAAGATACCAACAGAACATTCGAAGAGATTTTGAGTCATCAAAGCCAAAACTATGTACCCATAAAATAAGTGCCAAAAAGCTTTGAAAGACGGAACTGTTCAACGATTTTTTTTCAATGCAGCAAACACATAGGCTTTGTCCATGAGCATGTAAGCCTGGGCTTACTTATGTTCCCTAAATAAGTGCCCTTTGTGCATGGAGCACAAGAAAATACATATATTCCCTGTGGTTTTTAGGTGTGAATTTAATTTCTGCATTACACAATTGATTACAATTATCAACCATAAAATATGTATTTTCCCCAAACCAAATGAATTAGATGTTCAAATCCATTTATCAATATCTGCAACTTGTTCTTTTGTGATTTTTTCAGCAGGGTATTACCTCACTTTTTGTTGTAATTGAGAAATCTCTATTGGGCTCCAGAAATAATTTCACCTGTATACTTAAAGTTGGCAACCTAATTTCTACCTCCAGGACAAGACTGGAACTGAAATTGAGAAATAGCTTGGGAAATATCAGCCAAACTACTTCCTTCAAACTTCTGTTCAATATTTTGATTAAGTAGTTCAAAAACCTTTTATGTTTGATAACCCCCTTAAAATCCTGCAAAAATGCTTTATGGACGCTTTCTTGGGAGTCAAATGCAAACTCTTATCCTCTTGGAGTTCCAGATAAGGACTGAGATGTTGCCAATAACATGTTTTGCCCCACGTCACTTACTGAAGAAGAGGCAGAGCCAAAATCAGGCTATCAAAGTCGCTGACAGTTTTTGCTTCCTCAGAATTCCCGATCCCATCAAAGGTTCAGTACTGTGGCTGTGCTCAACAGGGACAAAAGCTATCGAAACCTGCTAGGAATTGGGGCTTGCAGGAAGACAGGTCGTACAGGTGTGCAGAGCAGCCTCACGCTGGCACGGCTGGAAGTGCTTTGCAGAACCGGAAGGAGCGGCAGGGCGAGCCAGGCGGCGTCAGCCCGGAGTCCCCCGGTGGCTCCCCGGAGTCCCACCGCACCTTCAGCAGGCCCGCACCCTCCTCCCACTTTTTCCCCACCGCCCGCGGCCGGCTGCGGTGGACGCCCTCGTGCCCACCCGCCTCCCTCTACCCGTCGCCCTCCCAGGGTACCTGCCGAGGCTGGAGACGGTTTGGCGGAGGCCCGCGAAAGCCAGGGGGCCCGGTCTCTAAGTCTCAGAGCGGGTGGGGGAGCCGAGTCCCCCGAAAGCGCGCGCCGGGCCGGTGGATGGAGGGTGTCGTGGCCGCCTGCGGCCTCAGGGCGGCACTCTGGGCCCGCGGCCGGCGCGATCGGGCGGGCCGCTGGGCGCCGACCCACGCTGGCCGGGAACGTGTCTCCCGGTGACGCAGCCCCGGGTGGGGAGCGTGGTACGGCGGCGGCAGCGGCGACCGTGCGCGCCGCGGCCGTGTCGGAGAGGACGCTCGGGGCGGCGGCGGGCGCGGGGCGCGCGGCGGGACGTGTGGGGAGGACGCAGACACCGTCGAGGAAGTAGGTCCGGGCCGCGGCGCTCAACAAAGAGCGAGCGGGGCCGCCCCCCTCAGGTAGCGAGCTGGAGCCGGCCCCGACCCTGAACGGCCCCGGCGGGCGGGCGGGCCGGCAGGCGAGCTGGCGGGGAGGCCGGGCGGCGGCGGCGGTGGAGGGGGAAGGGCCGCGGCGCGGACGCGGGCTGAGGGCGCCGGCAGGATTGAGGGAGAGCGGCCACTGGGCCGCCTGGGTCGTTCACCGCCTGTGCTCGTTCCCTCGTGCAGGCCAAGCCCGGGCGGAGGCTCCATGTTGGGAAGCGGCGCCGCTTGCCCTCTTTAGCGGGAACCGGGACGCCGCGGGCTAAGCCGGCGGGGGCCGGGCCGGGAGCGAAGATGGAGGCCCCTCTGCGGCCTGGCGCGGACATCCTGAGGCGCAATCCGCAGCAAGACTACGAGCTCGTCCAGAGGGTTGGCAGTGGCACCTACGGGGACGTCTATAAGGTGAGGCCGGCCGAGCCGATGTGGTCGGCGGCGTCCCGGGAACCGGACCGGTCTCCGGCGCGGCGTGGGCAGCGGGGAGGATGCTTTATTGTTGCATCTGGGGAGGAAGTGGCCCGGGTGCCTTTTACTCCGTTCCCAGCTCCCTGCGATCGCGGCTTGTACAAATCGAGAGCAGCCAACAGAACTAACCACACTGTTGCAAACCACAGTGGTTCTTTTTTTGTGGTTTGAAGGCTTATTTATGGTATGGAAGGATGTCCCAGTGTTAGCGTGGAGAACGCTTCGTGGGAACCAGGACTGGAAAGCATATTGATTTTCAGAGATTTGCTTTTTTAAAAAATGCTTGCTTTAATGGTTGAGCTTGCCTTTAAAAAAAAAAAAAAACTGAGAAACCCTATTTCTATTTTTTTTTTTTTTACCTGTAAGCGGTCTCCTACTGAGTCATAAGGATAGGTGTGCAAACGTCCCGTGTAGACGTTTGATCATTTGTATCTGATTAATGTTTTAAAATACGATGTTAAAATTTGTTGGGTGTTTTCCTGCTTCCAGCAGCTCTTTTTTTGGAAGGGGTAACATTCCATAATCACGACCTGCTGTTTTTGTTATGCTGTTGCATTAAGGCAAATCATTTACGATTAAAAAACATTTTAGAGGAGCAAACCAATTCTCTAAATTAACTGAGCTCTTGAAGGCTCAAGAGGAAAAAAATTGAGATTGCCTTATGCTATTCTGTTTCAAAAAGAGACATATGAAGAAAGTTCCTTTGCTTTTTGCAACAGCTTGATGTATTAGGTTTTGATCATGTGATATGTAATCCATTATTCCAAACAGCAGTCCTGCATGTAGCTGAAATGGCCTTGTGTCATATGAGTAATTAATTCCTCTGGGTAATGTTGTTTTGCCTAGGTAGTAATAAGGAAAGAAAATATCCTTTCTTCCTTCTTAATTGCTTTTGTTTCATTTCCTCCGTATTAATAATAATAACTCAAGGTGGTGATAAGGTAGCTCTGGCACTATTTCGTTCTGAGATGAACTCTAATAGATTAACTTACTCCTTAAATGAAATCTTCTACTAGGCACTTTCTAGGTATCGGTTTATTTAACTGTGAGCAAGGTCCCAACTCTTGTCTTGTGAATACCTTTGAATTCAAGTGGCATGTGATTAGCTCTTCATGGTTTATCTATGGATTAGCCATTTTATGGAATGCCTCTTAAAATTGAAATTCCTGTTTTCCTTCTCAGTCCCCTCCCCCCCCCCTTTTTTTTCGTTTTTGGGTCATGTTTGTCTTATGATTCACTACATATTAGAACAGTTTAGTTTGTGTTAATTATACAGTAGTCTAAATGCCAGTTCTTGCATATTTTTTTTCTTTACTACATGAATATTGGAAGAGAGTATTTTCCTCATAAAGACCCTAAGATTCCTGCCTCTTTTCTTTATAGATAAAGCAACTAAAGTAACTCTCTGGAGCAGGATTTTATTCCTGCCAGGGAGAGCAAACTTGCATTAAAGGGACAGGTAATGCCTACCTTTTACCCTCATGCCTCCATGTCTTGAATCTCTCTTCCCACAACTCCCATCGGATCAGAGATGATTTATCTCTCACACTTGTGCACACCACTGCCTTTTGCCTCCACCCTTCTCCTCTGTCCACCATCCCCTCCCTTCACAGTCTTGTGCACACTTACACGTACGCTGGATACTCATTGGACACTTGGTCAGCCTTGGATACCTGAACATCTTTAAGCCTGTCTCCTTGTCTTTTTGTTTTCCTATGTTCTAATTGCCTGGAGTCACCCCCCTAGCCACCGCTGCCCCTGTTGCTGTCATTCCTGTCCCTGAAAACCTTATTTAAATTCCCCAAAGCTCTACCCCCCTCAACCCCTCCCTCTTGAATGCTTCTGGTGCTCTCTCCTTATTCTTTCCTCTATTCTGAGTACCTTTTCCCAGATAGCTACTTAGCTTGCTCCTTTCTTCCTTTATTTCACACACTCTGCATCTTTTTTTCATAACCTTTTTCTTTCCACTTATCACAAACATAATGTTTTACTTGTGTTTTCTTGTTTTAATCCACTAAATATTCTAGGAAGGTAGGGATTTTTATGTGCATTATTCACTACACTGCCTCTAGTAGCGCCTAGAATTATAACTGGCACAGTGTATGTGCTTTCTAAAATTTATAAATGAATAAATGTTAGTAATTCTGATACCTAGTTCTCTAAGCATCTGTTTTTGACATCATAACAGTTAAATTAGCATTTAATAGCTTGTGTATTCCTGTAATGCTTTTTATAGCAATGCTTTGCACATGTGTTTTCATTGTAAATGTCAATTCGAGTTATCTGGAAAATATTTCTGAAAAATTATTTTGTAGCTTATCCATTTTCAGTAACATAAATACTGAGGAATTTTACAATTTATGTTTACTGCTTAATATGCCTAAAGACGTGTGAATTCATACTATAGTGCTGAACTTTTTAAGCTTTAAACAATTACAGTGATTTTACTATTTATCATTGTGTTTGGGATAAGTTTTCAACCCACAATACAAACTGAAAATAACTGCAGTGATGAATAGTGAAACTAAGTTAGTCACTATTCTTAATATAATCCTTGCTTTTAAAAATTTTTTTACAAACCAGGAGTTTTTAAAAGGACTATAGCTCAGGGTTCTTTGTGAATTTTTTTTTAACATTATCCAGAACCACAGATCCCCTCTGAAACTCTTGTCTTTGCTTGGAACTTCCTAAGCAAGGAAAGCTCAATCTTAAACTAGCTGTCTCTGAAAGAAGAGAAAGAATGTAAAGATTCATTTAGATAAATGGACTACATCATTGAGAGCTAGAGCAGGAAATGGTGGAAGGGAAAAAAATACAAAAGGAATGTGGTAAAGTACAGATGAAGGATTAAATTTCAGCTGAGCAAATTTTATTTGTAATTATTAGCAATTTCTAAGTCAGCCAACAAGAAGGGAAAATCTAATGTCTCTGCTATGTTCTGTCCACAGTGATCTAGAACAAATGATAAAAGCTCACAGGCCACCTTACAAACCATTTGGGCAGTTTTTCTCCAGTTTTGTACCAAAATTGTTTCCAGTCTAGATTCCAGAGAAATTCTAGGCGTCTATTTTTAACTTTTGTGAGATGTGTATTTTAGATGTATACTTTTAAAACTTTTAATGATTTTACTGAATTATTATAAAAGTATGGTGTCTTTTACTCACAAGGACAGGATTATCTCTTGTGTATCACTGGGCTGTAGCTTAATAAACACTTGTTGAAAGGTATTAGAAAGTTACCTAGAATAAACAGTTAATAATTTAGTATGGTTTATTACTGGCTCTTTTTTTCCCTACTTTTAAGCCAGTGTATTACCCAAATGGCTTTTAGACTTAATTTATTGCTGAAATCATGATATATTACCTTTTTTTATTTGATTGGTGGGTTGGTCAGCTTTTTATCACTATAGCCAAATACTAAAGGAAAGATTTTTTCGACTTACAGTTTCCAACGTATCAGTCCATGGTTGTCTGGCTCTGTTGCTCTTAGGCCTGCACCAAGGCAAAAACACAATGGCAGAAGGAAGAGAGCCTAATCTCTTTCTAGCAGCCAGGAAGTAGAGAGAAAAGGAAAGAGCTGGGGGGAAATTACACTCATAAATCACACCACCAGTGAGCTGCTACCTCTAGTTAGACCCTGCTTCCTAGTAGCCCATTCTGCTATGCTGTTATCAATGGGTTAATCTGTTGGTGAGTGTAGCACTTCTGCAATCCAGGCACCTCTCTGGGCAGCTCTTAATCTGGTCAAATTGACAGTCAAGATTAACTGTCAATTGGAATGACTAACACTTTTCCTAGTCATTAAGTATTCCTCACACATACTGTTTTTAAAGAATCTATTGAATGAGTCTTTATTTAACCACTCTAAATTACATATGTGTTATTTCTAATTTTTAACAGTTTTGCAATTACAAATGACACAATTTGTAATGCAAAAATTGTACAAGTGTTTGTCTTGCAGTCTTACCATTTTTGTGGGCTCCTCTGGAATGCTAAGTGATCTAGGTCTGCATTACTGAGCTAGATTACTCTATATGTGTCTTTCCTTTCTTTCCCTCAAATCAACAGTCACAATTATAGAATGGATTTAGGCATTTTAAAACATATCCCAGAGACCCATTGTAGAGAAGCAAAGCTTGATACAGTCCAACACTTCTGTAAGCATCTGTTTGTTTAAGAGATATTGAGAATGATTGTGTATTAGGGTAGGGAAATGCAGACACAAGAAGGTACACTTACCATCAAGAAATATATAATTTAGTCAGGAAAAGAGACAGGCGAACAGTTATAATTTGTCAAGTGCAGTAGTAGAAATGGAAAAATGCTCAACTGTGTTTAATAGTGATGAAGGGAGGGGAGAGGACCAGTGAAAAAAGGAGTGTTAGCAGAGGACTGGTAGTAAGTGGGTATTTTTAAACGGAGAATGGGCTCAAGGGTGAGGTGGGAAGAGAGCTCTAGAGGGTGAGAATAGTAGTGTAAACAGTGGGAGGCTTGATGAGTTGTGAGGTGTTTTTATCTTCATTCCAAGGTGACCAGCCTGGTGGAGATATACTAAATAAGAACACAGGATTTTTGTTTTTATTTTCCTGTCTGGAAAGGATTGGTTGATGGACTTTGTGTGTCATTATCAAATAATTTGGACTTTCACATACAGCTTGAAGAAATATTCAGAGGAAATCCAGTGTGGTGAGGAGCACCGATTATATAAAATGGCCAGAAGTGTAGAGACCAGTTACTGAATAATCAAGATGAGTGTTTACATAAGCCTAAATTTAGGCACTGACATAGAAGAATAGAATTGAGTCATATTTAGAAGATGATCCAAAACACCTGGGAATCAGCTAGAGGAAGATGGGTAATTAATGGCATTTACAATTTCTGGCTTGGGTGACTGTATTTGTGCTATTGACAGAGTTACAAAATACTATATGGAGTCTGGGT